AATTAAATAAAATTTTTATAAATCAGTTTTTATACATACATATGTATGTATTTAGGTATTTAGATCTTACTTAAAAATCGGTATTGTCAGAAAAACGAAACAAGCGGGTTAATTTTGTTTGCGTCATTTTTCTTTTGCTTTAATTGCGGCTGTGGCGTCATTGACGGTTGCGAAAGTGGCAGCTCAGCATTTTGAATATCGTTTCTAGCCTCACTTTCTATTCTGGCCCGGAGTTCCTTCATTTCTTCCCGGCTGTGACCAGTCTCTTGGCGAAGCTCATCCACAGATTGGCGTAAAAATGAAATGATCTGTAGTAATGTAGCTAATTTTGTTTCAGATAAATTGACTTGCGGCTGTGGCGATTGTGCACCTGTTGCACCCTCGTTGTCAGGGATATTCGCTATAGTTGAATCTAACAAGCTTTCCGCCGAACTATTGTCGCTGTTTTCCTCTGGAGCAGCAATATCAGTAAGCTTCGATTTGTTACGCGTTATCATGAATACTCTTGAAAAGCGTATGTTGCAATATGGCGGCTAAAGCAACTACAAACGCTGCTCACAACCACGATAAAACAATTGTAAAAACTTATGTCGGAAAAACGAAAGAAGCGAGTTAATTTTAAGTTGTATATTTAAATTCAAAACTATGCCTCGCGGCCAGAAATATAAAGCAGACAAATTTCAGTTTTCGTTCTTAGACTTCGTTCGGCTTCGTTTTACAATTGGTGTTTTTGTCGCGGCTTCTTTGAAACTAAAAACTAGAGCTGACGTTGACAATCGTTTCAAAAGGGAATGGCGTTGCCATTGTGTTGTAATAGAAAAAGTCCCTTTGAGTGGCCAATGTTGCCGACAGGTATGTACATGCATGCATATTTAATTAAGCTTAAAATTGTACTTCCTCACTCTTGTACTTCACTTCATTGACTGACTTCAACTTCGCTGCAAATTGAACAAAGCAAAACATGATTTTTATGCGAGACAAATTTCCACAGGAAGTAACGGTAGAAAAAGAATTTTGGGATATTCATTATATTTTTCAGCTGACTATGATGCAGTCTTCTACTTTGCATTCCCTGAAATGAAGCATGGAAGCGAAACAAATAAAATATTGTAGGACATTCTACTTTGCATTCCTTGAAATGAAGCAAAGAAGCGAAACAAATAAATATTGTAGAACATTCTACTTTGCATTCCCCGAAATGAAGCAAAGAAGCGAGCTAAAAAAATATGTTATAGGACATTCTACTTTGCATTCCCCGAAATGAAACAAAGAAGCGAAATAAATAAAATATTGTAGGACATTCTACTTTGCATTACCGGCAATGCCTAAAAGAAGCGAAAAAATTCGAAGGCATTATAACGTTTACCGATTTTTTGCTGGGAAGCGTATACTCATTTTTTTCAGAGTATTTCTAGTACTGCGGGCACCTAGCAGTTTTTGGGCAGTTCTAAACCATAAGATATATAAGAGAACGGCAAATTCAGTAATATGGGCAATAGATAGTGTTAATAAAATATGCAATAAAAAATTACAAAAATCACATAACTGTTTTTGTTGGCGCAGCGACGACATTGTTTTACCTCATGGTGGAATAATAACAAGGTGTTGTCAGTAGCGACGTGTTTGTTGTGATTTTGACAAGATCGGCATGCTTATTTTCAATGCTGCCGATCTTAATTTCTATAGTACTATTCGTTGGGAAATAGTATATAAAATACTCCATTTTAGTAACTCGTTTTATCGCGATTTTTAAAGAACTTGTTGTTTTCAGAACAATATTAATATTTAAAATTGCTGGATTTGTATAAGTTTTGTCCTCAAAAAGTAGCCAAATAAAAGATATCGTGGTTATCAATGGAAAAAAACGTACACAAAAATCGTATGGAAAGGCGTCTTCTGTTCTTCCAAGCTGTGTGGAGCCGATACAAATATATATTCAGGCTTATAAGCCTGTAATTATACATTTTTCTACATTTAATTTGAAATAGTATGCACCAACGGATTAAAGGTAGTAAATAATTAGTACCTTTTCTAGTACTTTAAAATGCGTGACCGGAATAGACCTGCCGAAAAAGTGAGGTTAAGTTACTGACTGCACCTTGTTATTATTACACCATGGTTTTACCTAGCTTAATTATTTTTTGAGTTTTGGAATAATTATTGAAATGTCACTTCACTTCTGCTTCTTCTGAGGTAGATAGATAGATAGATATTAATGTGAGGTGTGCACTGCGAACTGGTGATCTATTATGCCCTCTTCTCTTCACAACACTTCATCTAAGCCCAGGTCCCTCAGAGAGTTCAATATCGCCTTCGGGGTTAAGGAGTGGATGTGCTCAAGCTGTGACCACAACGATCCTAGACTCCTCTCACGTCTTCTGCAGACTGCATCACACTCGATGAGAATGTGAAGTGGCGTCTCGCTAGTCAAGTCACAGAACCAGGAAAAATCATTAGACCATAGGCCCAGCTTATGTATGTAGGTGACCCCTTAGTCTGCAGTGTCCTGTAAGAAATCCTGTTACAATTCTAAGCCTCTCTTTTAGGAGGTTTATTAAGCTTTGGAATCTCTTCTTGTTAAATATTTTGTAGCGAACGTCAAAGCTGTGAAGTTGTGTTTGTTTGTGCTCTCATTTAATATCTTATTTTGCAAGAGTTTTAACATTGATTCAAGTGAAAAATATCAAGAAACGTTTGGTGCACAATTTAAAGTTCAGTAAAACATCAAAATGTCTAGTGAATTTGATCAATTTAATTTAACATTGTTAATTGTGTGCGAGTCTTTTCTTTCATATAATTATATTGTTGTTGTGAATAGATTCTGCTTATCCATTATTACAATTGTGTTTGTGCACATTTATTTTGCTCTGTTTGCCATTTCTGCTATTTCATCCTTGTCACAGCTGTTTGCTTTGTGTTTATTAACAGGTCTATTCTGCGCTGATAATAAAAAGTTTGTAACCGGTAAATAAAGTTCCTGTCAATTTTTAAACCCTTTTCGCTTTCTGTGTACTCTTGTAACCGGTAAATTTTGTTACCATCTCATAAGCTGGTGAAATATGCAATGCCAGAATTTGCACAATTCTTCATAGCTGAATTGCTGAATATTTTAACTGCATTACCAACGTTCCTAGAATCGCGGTGACAAGAACTGGTAACATTTGTTGGTAATAAAATTTCCCGGTTACAAAATCTTCGGTAACGTCCAGAATAGACCTGTAAGTAGAATTCCAGCTAATAATTATCAGCTTATTGTTTTCTTTTTATTACATCGCCTTTAAAACTGTTTGCCTTTTTGCTTCAAATACTATATATAAACCTACAAACATATCCATAGAGATCATTTCAAATATGTCGTGTATTTACGCCAATTTTCACGTTAAGAGCGACGCATATGTGTCATGCTGGCTTTTCGATGGGATAAAATGTGCTGGTTTGACCGGTAGGGTGTTAGACGCTATTAATGAGGGAAAGGGTCTTCGTTGGTCTTGTCAAAAATGCCGATCAACCGAAGTCGATTTATTTAAATTCTTTAGACAGTCCAGAAATAGTTTTTCTGAAATCGGGAAGGATCTGTCGACGCTTGTTGAGAGATTTAAGCATTATGAAAAAATTTTTAAGTCTTTGACATGCCTCGACAACCCTCAAAACTCCGAGGGAAGTCGTGAAAATAAGCGAAGCGTGTTATTAATCCACCTGAAAAGATAGTTACTGAATCTACGCAGAAAAATCCTCCATCTCAGCCCTTAGATCTAATCAATCTTTCTTCTCCATGCCCTCAGGCATTTGAGCCTCTGCTATTTAAAGCCATATCCACTAGGTCTGCGTCTAACAGTATTACCATCGATATCTAAAGCTGCCCTATCTAACATTGATCCTCCGAATAACTCGGAATCCCATACATCTGAAGTCACTACCAAAAAGTTGGTTGTAATTCCTCCGAGAAGATCAATTTTTATCTCTAGATTTGCTAAAGACACTTCTTCGGTCGTACATATCAATTAAGATTAAAACTAAAGAAGTATTTATTCGTAAATTTAATTTTAAATACGATCGCGATATTTCATCTTTTAAAATTGATGTAGCTGCCGAATATTTTGGATCACTTCTAAATAATTCATTTTGGCCGACCGGAGCGTTTGTTCGCGAGTTTGAGTTTAAACCTTATAAAATGAATAACAACGTAGCTAAAATTTCTAATCTTAATTCTGATTCAAAAAAGCAACTCGCAAATCTAATTTAAGTATTTACTATCAAAACGTTAGAGGTTTGAATACCAAATTAACTGACTTATATTTAAAAGATTTTGACTGAAATTACAATATTATGTCCTTGACCGAAACCTGGCTCAAACCTCATATTTTTAATTCCGATATTCTTCCAAATGAATATCAAATATCTAGAGACGGTTACAATGTATTTCTGGAGGAAATGGCTGAACTTTGCCTAAAACAAATAAATATTTGTCCAAGTAAGTTTGGAAAGGTCTTGGATCTCGTTTAAGTTAGAGCTGTCAAACTATCGATAGTCATGTCCATCGATGTTTTACGATAGTCTTAAGGGTGACTAACGATACTATCGATAGTATCAACCCATTCCATATGTTTTTCTAAATCCATTTATTTTTCGTTATCTTGCTTTTATAAATTTGTTTATTTTAGCGGCTCACGGTTGCATTTTAGTATCGAGATATATTGCTAGAATTCATTAGTCGTGTAAAGAGTCAAAAAGCGATTTCAGAAATTTTCCCTGCAATTCGCCTTTCGGAAATAAAAAACTTTCTTTCGAAAGACACTTTGCATGCAAGGTGCCACTGCACACGAAACTGTTTTCTGAAATTTCTCAATTTGACAGTCTTTTGAAATAAACTGCATTGCCACGTCTGACACGCTCTTAAGACGGCAATGTAACCTCTGCTATTTCCATGCTTGAAATCATCCAGCACGGCAACCGTGTATTTGTAATTGCTTTTTGGAAAAAAAAATAATAGTTGATAAGAATGACTGCAAAAAAAAAATACTTTTTTCTCTCACTCCATCCTGGATGATCTTTATTCGTTCGTTCATGAAATAATGCCAAGTTTTGTTCTCTTTGAACCAATACGTGAAAATGTCAAAAGTGCTAGGAAAGAGATAAATAATAAAACGATAGTGGCGATAGTACTAAAACTATCGATAGTTATTTCATGTGGCCAGACTATCGATACTATCGATAGTATCGTCGATAGTTTGACAGCTCTAGTTTACGTTGATGATGTTCCGAAGTCCTCTATTAATCGGTGTGATCCCCTAGTTTTGCCAGAGGATGCATACCATCCCGCTCTTAAGTTAAGCTACGAAATCATAAATACAATACATAATAATAAGTTGTATAGTTCAAGTACTAGATATGTTTTTGTGAAAGCTAATTTCTGAAAAACAACATCCATCAACAACAACATCCGATGAGGCGGCTCTTGGGTGTTTGAGAGAAAGATTTTGCGGAAGATTTACGGTCCTTTACTCGCGACGGCGAGTACCGCAGACGATGGAACGATGAGCTGTATGAGCTTTACAACGATATGGACATAGTGCAGCGAATTAAAATACAGCGGCTCCGCTGGCTTGGTCATGTCGTTCGAATGGACACCGACGCTCCAGCTCTGAAAGTATTCAACTCGGAACCCGCTGGTGGTAGCAAAGGAAGAGGGAGGCCCCCACTGCGATGGAAAGATCAGTTGGAGAAGGACTTGGCTTCACTTGGCGTTTCCAATTGGCGTCAGTTGGTACAGAGGAAAACGACTGGCGTGCTTTGCTGAACTCGGCCAAAATCGCTTAGGCGG